GTTCTGAAGGCAAAAGGGGGTCCAACCCGTTACTAGCGTGGTGTACCTAATAAAGTGGCCGGTGAGTGTACATATACATCAATCTTAAGATAAGAAAATGTAAATATAGATCATCATGAAGCTAAGTGTTGCAACAAAATCATGAACGTCCACCATTTTTAAGAAATGTTTTGTTAGTCTGGTGGAGCTGCATGGGGCGGAAGCTTGGCTGCAGACTGAGCTCCAGGGAGGAACTTTTTGTAAATGGGCGGAGCTTTGTATCAGCAAGTGTTCAAGCAGCTCCACATGACTACAAGAGATTCAAGGACTTCTCAAACATGCACGAATGAGTCAAAACTATGGGTATGTTTTTTTTAAATAAGGGAGTGACATTATAACATTGTATAAATCAAAAACATGATATAAATGGCCCACTTTTGCATGTGACTAACCTGTTTGTCCATGTGGAGGCAGTGCTTATAAAATCACTAAATCACTAAAGAAGAACCCATCCAGAGGACCTGCTTGTTTTTTCTTTTTGATTTTTTTTCTACCTGGGTTACTGAGATGTATCAGGACAACATAATATAAAGCTCAAAAAAATCAATTTTGCATAATAACCTCCTTTTAAAACTTCTGCACTGTACGGAATGTTCCTCCAGTAATCATGGTTTCTGTTCACAGTTTGACCTCGTTTGTGATAAGAGCGACTTGGCTCAGGTGTCTCAGTCTGTCTTCATGGCAGGGGTTCTTGTTGGTTCGTTGGCCATTGGGCCTATTTCTGACAGGTGAGCCTCTCCTTCAGTAAGAAAAAAACTTCACAAATGATTATTTCCATGAAGTTTTACTGCTGGTTCAGGTTTCATTCAGTAACAATATATTGATTTTGATATTGATTGATTGAGCTCCTATCTCTGTGCTCATCATGAATGCATCATGAAGGGCTGTAATCAGTCAGTGAAAAACAAGATGAAAAATAAAAATAAATTGAAAGACTTAATTTGAAGATATGTGTATGAAATGTTTAGTTATGCACATTTTAAATGTTAAATRATAGAAACTGAACTGTACTGGGATGAAGTCTACAAAATAAATCCGTTCTGCTGACAGGTTCGGCAGAAGATTCGCCACCCTCTTGTCACTTTTCCTTGCGATGCTGTTTGGTGTGACCACATCGTTCTCACCGAACATCTTTGTTTATATGGTCCTGAAGTTTTTCAGTGGGTCCTCGAACGGCATCATTATTATGAACACGTCTGTAATGGGTGAGTCCTTATAAATAGTAGTGATGTCATGCATTTTTACACCAGAAAAACCATAGACTTCATGTTTATGCTCAGGACATTGTATCATATAAACATTTTGTCTCCGCTCTTGGTCTTTTTTTTTTTCCAGTGGTGGAATGGATTGATCCTTCGAAGTCTGCTTTTTGCACAGTGGTCATCATGAGTTTGTTTTCTGTCGGACAGATGCTGTTGTCTGGTATCGCCTACTTGATCACAAACTGGAGGATTCTGCAGCTGGTGCTCTTCTCCCCTGTTGTTCTTGTCCTGGTGACCATGTACTGGTCAGCATTGGTTTTATCCTTCACAAGTAAACAAAAAAAAAAACCCTGATAGTGAAGATTGAGGTTTAAACCTGAACTTCTTCCTGTCTCATTAGTTTTCTCCCAGAGTCGGCTCGATGGCTCGTGACGCAGGGCAGGAAGAAGGAGGCACTGAAGCAGCTGAAGTGGGCAGCCAGAGTCAACAAGAGGAGTTTACCAGAAGGTCTTCTGGATAAGGTCGTCATCCAAACCTCACTTTGACCCTTCCAAACTTACATTCTAAAATCCTAAGACCATTCCCAACATTTCTTTTTCATAGGTCAATTTAGAGAGTAATCAGGACAAAAAGAACATGTTGGACATCTTCAGAATACCATATTTGAGAAAAYGCACTGCAATTATGGCCTTTAACTGGTGAGTTCCCTCAAGTAATMRTCCAGTTATGTTAAACAAACCTAGTTTTGAAAAGGTTGGTTGACCAGAAACTGTAGATGTTAGTCAGTTCAGTCAAAAATGTACTCTGTTCTCTAAACTGAGGTCATTCAAGCCATCAAAAAACTCTATAAAGATTTTCGTTCATAACTTTTCACAGAACCCAGCTTCAAACTATCTGAACTCTCAATAGTTCTCACTTAGTGAAGCTCGATTCAGATTAAAAATACCTTTGACAAAATGTACTTTCAGATGCCAAGTAAACTGCATCGTAGCGCCCCTCCTCCCCATCGCG